ACAGGCCCCGGGAACCTTTGTCTACATTTTCCTGCTAGAATGTAAAAAAAATATAAGAAAAATGTTTTAAGAGTTAGCAGTTATTAAGAAGACCTATTCAGTCAAATTATTATTTTACTTGCGGTTTACAATTGGCAGTAGAGATCGTAAATGGAATGAAAACCACAAGACAGTGGGGTCTCTGCAGGACCAAAAATGCACAGCACTGCCTTACAAAGTTAGCTTGGTAATGCTCTCACTTTCTTTGCTTGATTTCATAAATTAGCAGCCTGTTTTCATTCACTGAAAACAATGAAAAAAATATCACTTTCCTCAAGAATATAGTGTTTGATCTGGTGTATGAACTGTTTTTGACATTCATCTCCCCTAATTATGATTTATAGAACAAAGTATACAGTTCTGTCTTGTACAATCATTATTTCAGGTTAACACATTTAGTAGCTATATTTTGAGGTAGTGTCATGAGAAATGCCATGATGCTGTATTTGCCCTCTGAATTGTGCCAAGTACTGCTGTACTGGATCTGCTGAATGTAAGTGCTGTTTTCTTTTGGGCAGGTTTCCACAGTGTCAGTGTACGTCATAGCTGTACTGAAAAGTGATGAATTGTCAAGCATCTGCCAGATTTTATTCAACAGTACCTCTTTATATTTGACCCTTGCTTAATCTTTTTTTATAATTAGCTATGTCATAATGGTACAAGATTGTGTAGATACCAAGAAGAAAAAGGTATTTAACAAATGTATTTTGTATTCAAAGCTAAAAAAATCAGTAATTTATGGAACTCTGAGTTTTAAATAATGACATTTAACCAAAATGTATTGTTGGATTTGGAAGTTTACTATAGGATGATATGTTATGAAACATCAGTTAAAGACTAAGACACCTGACTGTATGAAAGAAGTTGTTTTGAAACACTTCTATTAATATTCTCTTGTGACTCTTATGAATTTTCATAAAATCCTGCAGCAGTGGGAGTTTACAATATATTTATATATATAATTTTGTTTTAGCATTAATTATTTTGAGGCAAAGAATACATTTTGCTAACTGCTTTTTGACCTTCGGTAATGAAATATGTATCATTTGAAAGTCATGGGATTTGACACTGAAATATTTTATAAATATTTAATTGTACTTAGTTGAACGGTATGTGTTATGGGCAGGCAAGACATGATTTTCAACTTGTTTATACACTTTGGAACAGTGAAGGCAGGTCATGTATTCTTGCCATGTAACAATTTGGGAAGCATTTATTCTTGGTTTTTGATATTCTTCCTCTTTCACAAATACTCAGGTTTATAGGATATGTACTGTCATGCTTGAAAGTTTGTGAACCCTTCAAGCTGGTCATTAGATTAGATATTATATGAACCTGAACTCTTAATGAATATATAGAATTAATATCCTAAATAAAGACTTCTGACACATAAAAAGGGATTCAAACTCATAGATTATTAGACTGTGATACTTAACAAATCACCAGATATTATTGTGTGCAAAAGTAAATAAACAGTCAATAACTTGTGGCACCTCCTTTAGCACCAATAACTTCACACAGTTGCCTCCTATAACCAATCATCAGTCTCTGACATCTTGCTGGAGGGATTTTTTCCTACTCCTCTTTATAAAACTCCACCAGTTCTGTGAGGTTTGAAGGATGTCTTGCCCTCTACAGGTCCTGCCACAGCAATTCAATAGGATTCAGGTCAGGCCATTTGGCTTGGCCATTCCAGACACAGAACCTCTTCTTCCTAAGCCATTCTTTAGTGGACTAACTTAAATGTTTAGGATCGTTTTCTTGTTAAAACATCCACTTTGTGCCCAGCTTGAGTTTTCGAACTGATGGCCTGACATTCTTCTCAAGAATCCCTTGATATTCCTCAGAATTCATGATGCCCTCAAAGATGTCACGTTGCCCATGGCCAAAAAC